TATATATATATATATATATATATATATATATATACATACACACATTCTAATGCATGCTTCTCATTACTTACCCAAAGAAAGGGTGGACAGCTATAGATCTTGGGATACTCATGTTCATAACAATGACTTTCACAATATATTCCCCATTCAAATTGCTGGCAAAAATTGATGCTTCATGCCCACTTTCATTTTGGTATGATGTAAAAAACATAATCCGAGACACCCAGTCAATGGCAAAACCAGATGGATTAGTAATAACTGAATTTGAAAGAAAAAATCACACACTCAGTTTATCTTTAGAATTAAATTCTTAGCAATTTAAATAGTTTTCTAGAAAAATTCTTAAACTTTACACATATATATATCTTTACCTTATTATCTGTATGATTCTAGCCTAACTTACCCTAAGATTATAACTTATACCTACTTTGTTTCTCAAATGAAATAAAGGAAAGCTCATTATATTTAATTTGAAATCAAAAAAGTAATCCCCAGACATATGATTTTCAATTTCATCTTTGAAAACAAAAACTACAAATCTCTCCCCTTCTGATTTAGGGTTTACTTTATCAAAATTATCCATATAAAGCACTAAAAAATACATAAAAAACATTACATTCAAAACCATTACATATAAAAGGCAGCTCTCAAGCATACTTCATATATCGACAAGTGTATATTACAGTTCGAACTACTAAAAACAACACAGCACACAGATTAGGTGTAAAATGTTGTGTTATGAGCAGCTAAAACTGACCTGTGTCTATTACAGTCTCCATAGTAATTCCAGTAACAGATGCCTTTTTAATTTCATTCAGTTCAGTGTCTGACCAATAGACTTCATGGTCTTTGGCAACAAACTGTAATGTGGTTGCCTTGTGCACCTGAAATGTATAATTTTTGTTTTATTAAACCAACAAACTTGCATTGCTTGGAGTTAAGAGTAATATCACTGCTTTGTGCAAAAATTAATATAACTAATTACATTAACTTACTTTGTTACAATAGCCCTAGCATTTGTTCAAGATGTGCCATGAAATTATTACTACGATTTAAAGTATTATTTTGGTTTTAACAGACACATGCCAAAACACTATTATTCCATCTGACACTGCCAAAAAACAAATTACCATTTTAAGACACATACCAAAACACTACACTTTTGCCTGGGACATACATTACAACATTACTATTCTGGTTGAGATTCCTGCTAAAACACTACCATTGCACCAAAGAGCTGCACGATTGGTAGTATTTACTAATCAAGTAATAAAAAGCCCTTAGTTCCCTTCCTCTAGTTGGCAGTTCAACAACAACAAAAACTGATGGAAGGTGCTGCAAGACACTTGCCTTCCTTCTAGTCGGCAGTTCAAAAAGAAAAAAATTAAAAATTGGCAACGGGTACTGCCAGCCAGTTGGCTTTCCTCTAGTCAGCAATTCAAACCTAGTGCCAGGTAGCTTTAGTAGCTTAACAATAACAAAATCAGGGTGAGCAAGTTAGGTGACAATATTTCAATTACTTAGATAGTTGGAGTAATCAAAAATAGTAATATACAGAAACCCTAACTTTGATTAGTTGATTATTTTTGTGACAATTGATGTAATCAGAATTCTGATTAATCAATTGTTGAAATAATTTGAAACTCTAATTTTGATAAATTGATTTAACCAGAATTTTGATTGATTAGTTTACATGACATTAAATGATGTAAATGCTGTTCATAGGTAACCAACTATATTGATTAATTGATTAAATTGCCCAACTATCCTTGGCCATCACTATCGTTACTCTAATAAGACTGATGAAACACACACAGAGCGATAGAACACTTACTTTTGGAAGACTAAACGGAGGAATTACATGATAGAATGGCATCTCCAAGTCCACTCCTCGAATATCATTAGGTCTTGAGAACATCAACATTTTCTCATTGGCTGGAAAGTTTATAATTATTTTAACTATTTTCTTTGAAAACTCACAAAAGGTAGTTTAGTGTTCAAAACATTACAGTATGAACTTAATTTTATCAATAAGCATAAATAATATCAAATTACTGCCCTCTTTACATCAAATACGAATTTCAATAAACAAATTTCTTGACAAGCAAAAAAAACAGAAGATATAAAAAACAATATTTTACTTAAATATTCCACTTAAAATAGTACAACACTGTACAAGTTCCAACAAATACACAAACAACACTTAGCCTGTAAAACAAAAAGTTTTAAAAACAGCAAGACTTAAATGAAATTAAAGAAAAAAATCACAAAGAGATGCAAAACAAGAAATATACCAACAAACTTTGTATTTAGACAGGATTTTTCTTCTTTGTGAAAGACAATAAAGAAGATAGGATGCTAGTAAAATTGGGAACTTATAAATTTATTATTAAAGACAAGTTTGTTCATCCTTGTGGAAATGTAAAACAAACTTTTAACAGGTGTGAAGTTTTACAAATGAGGAATAACAAACTTACTCAGGCACGTTTTTTCATCCTTGTCCAACCTCATAAGATGAGGGCAATGACAACGGTAGGTATTGTTGAAACTTAGAAGACAAAGATGAGAACAACCACCATTGTTGACTGCACATGGGCTAGCCACATTGTCTAAAGAAAAAAAATGTAATTCATGTAAATTTACTTTTGAGTTTCTTGACATTAAAACTTAAATACAACAGTTCATATATTGTTAAAACAAACTCAATAGTTCATTTATTATCAGGTAATGGTACATTTTATAAATAAAAACAATTAAAACAGTGAAAACAGATTTTATGTAAGATAATACCACTAAACATGTTATATAATATAACTGACTGTGACTTTTGCATCCATAGCATCACATACTTCAGTGTGATGACCATTATACAGAACATACTTGGAAAAGTTAAGATGATTTACAAAATCCACTGAGGGTAAAGTATATCTGCTATTTGAAGTCATTAATTGATGATGATGAGGATAATGTTCCAAACAAGAAAAGTAATCCCTCTTTTTTTCTCTGATCAAAAAGAATATTTACATGAAATTTTCGCTTTCAAAATAAGGCTTGGAATAAATTATTGTATTACCTCTCGGCTGACGAGATGGGTGCAGAATCAGAATATCAAATGGTTGGGTGCTGGACCTTTCTACAATCTCCACATCAGTTCCATTCCATTTATTAGCCTGTAAAAACATTAAAACTGGATTACACTAAGACTAACAAACAGCATATATATGATATGAATCACCATTTCAGAAATGGGATTTGTCACATTGGGGGAAGGAGGGGGGGCAGAAAGTCACACTGTCAATCAAGCCTTAGAATGAAAAATAGAGTTTGGATTACATTTACCAAATTAAAAAACAATTAAACAATTTTGGGACACTTACTGATTAATTACATAAAAGCAACCAAGGCATATCATAATTTACTTTATAAAAACATAACATTCCATTATTTTAATAATATAACAGTTGTATTATCATGAAAATATTCTTCAGCCAAATTCTACGTATACTATTTGACAAAAATCAAGCAGGAAGCCCATTATCAAGTTTTACATTTTCTGACTTTGTTCTAACAATTTTGATGTGATTCTTTTCTTATTCAATACATATAAAACAAAAATCTCTATTGCAGTAGTTTTGTTAGAAATTTTTTTTTTTTATTACAGTGATGATAGTTACGTACAAGTTACTTCTTCAATTTTAAAAGAAAATGGTTGTCTCTCTGGACAATTCTCATAATTTACAGGAATTATACAGATCTCAAAGTATCAATCAGCAGAACATCTGATCTTCACAACCTTTAGCTTTTTGTTACCTCCCAATCCTTCATAAGAGAACTGGAGAAGTAATGGTTTTATTTGATGTAAACAAATGTGCATGAACAAGTGCAGCTGCATTGATGCAAAAATATTAATCACAATATGTGATATAGCATCATAAAACTAACAGAGTATCCAGAAAATCAATAGACACAGCTCCATTTCATTCTTCTTACACAGATGTTGGTTTATTTATCCAATTTGGTCAAAAGTGTATGGTTATCTTCACTTTTGAGACTATCAACTGTCTACCATCTGGTTATATTTGCACATGCTCTATCAGAAGAGAACATGTAGCTAATAACTATTCATGAAGGCTATGCTGCATATAAAGGCAAAGTTGCCAAGAACATGTTGAAACAAATTAAACAGAGTCAAGATTAACAGCCGAGGTATTTTCTGATTAATAGATTTCACTTTAAGTATCAGATAGTTTGACCCACTAATAACAGCAGATTTGATTAGGAAATAAGTAAAGTATGCTGCATTTTATAAATTAACTAAGTTATTGTAGTGTATGAGAAATAAGGCTAGACAAGTTTAATTTAACCTTATGGATAATGTGCTCGGTCATTAGTACCAACCTTGTAACCACCACATAACCATAGAACTACATACGGTTTGTTTTAGAGCAAAGCCACATTAGAATATCTATTATACTCACTGCAGGGAATCAAGCACTACATTTTAGTACTGTAAGTCTGTCAACTTACCACTGTCCCACTATGGACACCATACACAGCGTAACTCTTAATGTACTAAATATATCTATATTCATGAAATCCAGCAAGCATTTATCAAAAATTACAGAAGATCAAATTATTTAATAAAGTGCTTGTATTAAAGATTTGTCTGTGAATTTACAAAGCCTTTACTGAGTCAATTTGAGTGAAAATCATTTTCAAAATAAGAATAAAAAATACTTCTTTTTCCCTTGCAGTTTCATAATTGTTTTGCATAACCTCTAGATCCTCCTAAACAAATATCAAGTTTTTTTGTGTTTAATAAAAACTTTATACTTTCTCTACCTTAACACTAACTGTAGCAAAGTCACATGTATCTAAAGTTGAAAAATATGAAATCAAAAATACCTTTTATTTTTTTCTAGAATGATTGCAGATTACAACAGACTGTTACAATTGTTCATCTTTAGAGCTTTAGGTCTATTGACATTTCACATTTGATTTCATTTAATTTTATTTTTCGAACTATGTCTAACTGCCAGAACAAGCAGTAAATTACTGGGTGGGATAGTAAAGTAAACAAACATATCAGATTATATCATGCACATCTAACTGTGTGTGTTCCTTGTGTGTTCCTCGAGAAGTGTTGATGGCAAAATTGTTTTTCTTTTTCTTATCTAACATAATAAGTTTTTGATTTTTAAATTTTAGTTACTTTTCCTAAAATATACATACAAAAAGAAGAAATTTAGGACTTACCTTAGCTCTAGGCCAGCTTGCACTCAAGTGCCTGCTTTCATAAGCCTTCTTTTTTTCTAACTATGTTGATTGTCCAAAAAATAATTTCTGTACTCTCAATTGAATACGTATTACAGAAAACCCAAAACATACCAATCACTAGATTTGACTTGGGCATGGTCAAATGCATTAGATCTTAAATCAGTTAAGATATGAGGAGTTTTTAGCTAAAAGTTTGTACTTGAAAAAACAAAACAAACTCTGAGCTATTCTATAAGCCACTATGCAGTAGCGAAAAAATAGACTATCATATGATTTACGTAGTGTACAATTTTCTCTTTATGATGGTTATAAACATGCCCAATAGTAATGTCAGATGGAATTAGAGAAATTTCTTAAAAGACAGATGGTGTGGGAGGGGCATGTCAATGTGGGTTGAACGAAATATATTAGAAATCTCAGTAAAGC